AGGAGGTGTTCTTATCTTGATTCCTCCTTCCTTCCTTTAACAGAAGAAAGGAATTTGGAATGGGTAGAATGATATTTAGTTAACCTGAATGTATTTGGAAAAGATAAAATAGTCCCATCAGTCACTGAGGGATTAAAATGTCCAACTGTCAGAAATTATGAATTCGTTGTGTTCTCTAAACTGGTTGATTTAATAGCGAAGCTTTCGTCGTCCCACCCCTTTTAGACAACATCGCTTCACCGCAGGTTTTAGTATAAAATGGACTTATTTGAATTCCTTCTCCATGAATGATGTAGTTGTATATCCTGGCAACCACTTTCGGGACTGGTTGTTAATTTACGCCTGTAGTGATCATTATTATTGATTTGAAATTTGAACTCTCTTGTCATGGCTGGTAAATTTGGTCTATAGTAATTAGTGTGTTTGTTAATCGCTGGCTGATTCACTTGAGTACCAGGATTCTAGAAATTCCCTGGAAGTATTTCCAGTGTTTCCCCTCCTGTTTATAATTTCTACATTATCCCAATCATCTAATTGGTGTCCGTAATTATCAACATGCATCATGTCCTTTCACGGCTAATTTGTGTTCTTGGATTCTGATTCGAAGGGGACGCCCACTTTGTTGACCGATGTAATGTCTGTTACAGTTCATAGAATTTATTTTGTAAATGATATTAATTTTATCTTTTTCTGTTGGATGGATCTTTCGGTTTGCACAATGTCGACTGAAGTGATTGTCATGACTTGTTGACTGGCTTGTGTTCTATATCTATTTCAAACGGTCTCAATATTCTAGTGTTATTCAGAGATATTTTTTTATATTATAGGATGAATTTTCTTGTAGTCTTTGGTAATGGTTTCTTGTTCATGTTTTGACTCGAGTTTGAACATTTTTTGATGAAATTGTGAAGAAATCCATTCTTTTTGAAGACGATTAGTAGGCACTTTTCCTCCATTTTCTTCAACACCGAAGTAGTGCTACAGTGTGTATGTGTACCGGAAATCGTCTCAATAAGATTATCACGGTAGTAAAAGAAAAATATACACTTCAGTTACTTTTGTAGTATTCATACACATTCCTGCCAAATTTATGACTTTAGCACACTAAAAGAAACAAATTTTCAGACGTCGGCGCATCACTTTTGAAGACTGGGAAAAATGCAGTCCCCACTTAAATACAAAACTACCCAGCTAAAATCATTATCCCATAAATTATTTTGTTTTCTTACAGGATTTCATCATGAGCTGACATTAGTTAGAGAACCACTGGAAAATCTGGGAGTACTGAACAGCTGTTTCGTCCTAGTTTGGGACTCTTCATCAGAACGCAGCCACCGGGGTTCGAACCCAGTGTAGAAACGTAACTTGATGTACATATTGTAGGTTAATGTTAGTAGAAAAACAGTTGTTGATTGGTTCTTCTCACACAAAGTTAACCTTGCATCCCTTGTGGCTGTGTCAGTTCATCGATGTGTTAACTGTATCGTGTATCTTGACTTGTTTCACTACATTGACTCATACTGTCAACCAATTTGGCTAGCAACCATCTCTCACCACACCAGGACCTTCTGGTTACAAGGTCTACATGGTCTACTAGCTCGCCTTGTAACCAAAAGGTCCTGGATTCGAACCCCGGTGGCTGCGTACTGCTGAAGAGTCCCAAATTAGGACGTAACAGCTGTCCAGTACTCCCAGGTTTTCCAATGGTTCTCTAACCAATGTCAGCTCATGATGAAATCCTGTAACCAATCAAACAAGATCCCTACAAAGTCAATACTTGAATATTTTGTTTTCCTCGTGTTTATATCAAGCTTGAAAGAATTTGATAATTCTTCATGTGATAATGCCATTACACAGTTTTTTTTAAATATATTTGTTTACGCTTTCTTTTGCTATGCTTTTATTCTCCAAAAACGGGGGAGAACAAATTAAATAGAATTTGATAATTAACTAGCTAAGTGATCATAATTATCGTTACTGAACATCTTGATAAAGTCAAACATAAACAACCAGGATAATATTAATAATAAAATATAATAAAAGTAGCAACAATAATATCAACAAAATAAGTGAAGACACTGGTGAAACATTGGGCAGTAATTTGTTAATGACACTTTAATTTGCCTCCAAAATAGGCCGGACACTGATACACTACCCTGGTTAAATGTATTCACAGCATCTTATTGATTGTATAATTTAGCGGACCAAATTAGCTGAATAGATGGACCATCACCTACAGCTCCCTCAGAAATTTTGAATGAATCTTGAATGCAATCAAGCTGCTAAAGTCCGTGAAGGCTGGAGGATGGGACCGAATTCCCCCCCCCCCCCCCGAAGCAATGAAAACAGACCCAGCGACTGCAGCAGATGTGTTGACGCCATAATTGCCAAAGGTCTGGAAGTAAGAAAAGGTGCTTACTGCCTGGAAGAAAGGCTGGCCACCTTGTTGAGCTACCCAACAAAAGCGACCTACGGTTCTGCAACAACTGGCCTGGAATAATGCTTTTGTCCATGGCAAATTAAATACTAAGTTTCGTCATCCTGGAGAGAATAAACGATGCACTGGCTGCAGAACTCTGCCAGCTCGTCGAAACAAGTCGGATTCAGGAAAGGCAAATCATGTGTTGACCACATTATAACTCTACGCATCATCATCATCACAGAACAAAGCACAGAATGGCAGTCACACATCTACCTTGACTTCATTGATCGACTTCGGAAAGGCTTTCGACAGACAGCGTTGACCGTGAAGTAATTTGGAAAATACTTCAGCACTAGGGCGTGCTGTGCCCCATATCTTTAACAACTTCACTCAAGAGCCGACTATTTGACAATGCCTGCTACGTGCCAGTCAGGTGATCCACAAAGGGAAACCTAGTGTAGCCTGGCTTTGAATTGAATGCAGGAGTAAGACAATGCTGACTGTTTATCACTCACAATGATATTCCTCATTGTGGTGGACTGGATTTTGCGTCAGACTATGCGCTGGGAGTAGGGGAGAAGAGAGGAATACGTTGGACCGTCAAAAAGACTCTAGAAGATCTGGATTTCGTGCTTGGATGATTTGTGTTTAATGTCACGCACACAAAATCGGAGACCTGTGAGCGAAAACCAACAAATTTATTGAAGAAGCAGCCAGCAAAGACAGGATTCCAGGTGGACATGTAGAAGATGCAGGTGATGAAGATAATCAACGAACAGCAACGATCAGCACCAGTGACCATCGGCGGGAGAGATTTGAAAGAGGCTATTTCATTCACTTATCTGTCCAGGAAGCATTGTTTCAGTCACAGGCGACAGCACTGATGAAGACATCAATGCTAGCTACAGTGGGAAATAAGAGATACACCTTCACCAACCTGATGTATGTTTGGAGATCTTCTGTCTCACTCACCCAGCATGAAGAACAAGACTCGGATTTTCAACACCAATATGAAGTCAGTCAGTCAGTTCTTCAAACAACTTGCTCTTTGGCGCAATCAAAAATCGATAGATATCCTTCTCATGTGAACTCCAACTGCATATACAAATTTACATGCATCTGCGGGAGCAGTTACATTGGAAGGACAGAAAGAGGGGCATACCTACGATTTTCTGAACATGTACCAAAAAGCTTACGTCTAAAGGAAACAAATTTTTAAACAGTGCCATCGCCAGGCATCTCCTCGACACGGGTCATGAGGTGGAAATCGAGAAATCCTTCAAAATTATCAATAGACAAAGGAGCTCCATTCTCCTCAAGTTTGCCGAAGCAATTTCTATCAAACGCTTCAAACCAGATTTATGTGTTCAGAAAGAAGCAGTTATCAGTCTTTCCTTGCCATGGTAACTGGATGTCTTTATTCTCTAATCTGATTACGTAATCTTTGTCTTTAACCTCACCCCTTTTTTTTCAATCTGTAATATGCTTGTCTCTTGTTTCTATGACGTGATTTGAACTCAGTACATCGTTACCAAATTTATTAGTTACTCATCATCTTACTCACCTCCCGTCTTTATTACGTAACTCTTTTACCACTGTATGCATACATCTATTTTGTTTAAACTTGAACTGCCTGTGTAAAAGCTATATAATTTGAGCACTGTTTTGAAAATGTAAAAATTTGCAAGTATGTTAAAACTTTTCTGTATGTAAACCTCACAATTTATTTAGGCTGTAAGCAGCTGATGAGAAGCCGACGAAATAAATGATGGTACCATATTATTCTGCACAAACCACTGTGTCTTGCTTTATTTAAATTCATCAAGGGGAATAAATGCATGAATTTTCTCAAAATTATATGGGTCAGAAACATGCACTGCGCCTAAGTCACGAAAAGCATTCCCAACAGGCTACTCTGCGGACTTTTATCAACAGCTGCCTTCCCTGCCTCTAATTTAGAAGATCGAACGGCAGGACGGCCGGAGAGAATTAGCAACAAGAAGCTGTGGCAACAAACCAACCAAGAGCCGATTGCTCAACAAATATTAGGAAAAAATGGGGATGGATTGGGTATACGCCGCTGAGGAGATCGTCGAATGACATCACGCGTCAGGCCCTCGAGTAGAACACGAATGGGAAACGACGAGTGGTCTTAACCTCTTCACTAGTCGTTCCCTGTAAAACATTTTAATTTTAATCTCTCATATGTTCCTTTTGTACTTTTTCACACCCTCTTCACACTTGTTAAATTGACACTCAACTACCTTTATTCCCACTCAATAGCAATTTTAACCTTATCAAATTTTTAACCATTTCTTCTTTTGTACTGTTGAGTACTACGTAATTTACAACTTTTATTTTTCAGTTCTAAAGCCAATTCTGAGTAATTATATCAATACTGTCACCCCGCCCCTCTAATACTCAATAATGGACTACTATACATTTTTGATAAATATAAATACGACTGTACAGTCTGTGAAGATGATTTCGTCGATAAAGAAAATTTTCTTCGCTGGCTGAATTTGTCTTTTATTTTCTTCATTAAACAATAGTGTTTCTTTTAATACTTATTTTACAGTGTTAACCAACTTGAAATGTCAAGTGGACAGTGATTGTGTCCATGTGATCAATAGTGCTTGTCATCCTGGTGCAGGATATTGTGCTTGTCCAGGTGGAACAATATATGTGCCTCAGGATCATGCCTGCCGTAAGTAATCATTTAATGATATGAATTAAATTTTCATTTTCCAATGAATTTTAAATTGGTTTTGTAACTGGAAAAATCGAATTCTTCCATTCCGTATTTTTTATCCAAGCCTTTCATTCATGAAAGTATAGGTTGACAAGTGGAAGTTAGAATTAACGAGTCATAGGACTGCCCGTCCCTCCCCTCCACTTTCTCCAGCGACTGTATGGTCTATGGGATCATCACGTGATCTACCAAATCTTGAGTTTGATCCTTATCTGTAGGTTGATGGATGCATAATGCTGAAACATCTCAAACTAGCAGCGAAACAGTTGTTCCGTACTCCAGTACTGGTCTTTCAATAGTCCCCTGATTGATTATATTATATTATTGTTCCCTTGGGTTCCTAGTGGAACATAGGGCTTCAACTGCACGTCTCCACTTGCTTCTGTCTTCTGCTGTACTTTTCACCTGCATCCATGTTAGTCCATACTGTTTCAACTCCTCTTCACACAATCTCCTCCATGTCACCCTTGGACGTCCCACTCGCCGCTTCCCTTTCGGGTTCCACTCGAGCGATGGCCTGACGCGCGATGTCACCCAGCGGCCTCCTCAGCGAGTGTCCAATCCATCTCCACTTTCTCCTGCATATTTGTTGAGCGATTGGTTCTTGTTTTGTTTGTTCCCATAGTTTCTTGTTGGTGATTCTTTCCGGCCATCTGATCTTCAGTGAACGAAGACAGCTGTTGTTGATAAAGGTCTGCAACAGGCTGTTGGAAATATTCTTTGTGACCCGCCAAGTTTCTGATCCGTATAGAAGAACTGACTGACTTGACGTTTGTATTGAAAATCCGAATCATTTTGTTGTTGATGCAGGCTGAGTGACGAATATTTCCAGATTGGTTTCAGGTTGATGAATGTGTTTCTCGCCTTCCCGATTCTCGATTTGACATCCTCGTCCGTTCCTCCTGTAGTTGAGACAATGCTCCCTAGATAAGTGAATGAAGTAACCTCTTTCAAATCCCTCCCGTTGATGGTGATTGGCGCTGGATATTGCTGCTGTTGCTGTTGTTTGGTTATTTTCATAACCTCCGTCTTGTCTATGTTCACCTGGAGTCCTGTCTTTGCTGCTTCTTCGACCAGTTTGTCGGTTTTCGCTTGTAAGTCTTCGATTTTGTGTGACATCAAACATAAATCATCCGCGAAATCCAGGTCTTCTAGATTCTTCACGTCGGTCCAGGATATCCCTGTCTTCTCGTTTCCCGTCCACCACAATTAGGAATATCATTGGTGATAATAAGCACCCTTGTCTGACTCCTGTGTTTACTCCAAACGCCTCACTGAGTTTTCCGTTGTGGATCACTTGACATGTGCCGTTGTCGTACAGCTGCTGAATAAGATTGATGAATATTTGGGGTACGCCATAGTACTTGAGTAGTTTCCAAATTACTTCGTGGTCAACGCTGTCGAAGGCCTTCTCAAAGTCTATAAAGTTGAGGTAGAGGTTTGATTGCGGTCTGTTATCTTACCAGAAATAGAGGAATCGACCATTTTTTTCCTTCCGAAGACCACTTTGTTCTTCTCACAATTTCTGGTCAGTTCTATTGATTTAATCAACAGGAATATTGAGCATTACTCATGGCTTTTTTTGACTACATGCCATAATTATCTATGTTTGATTAAATTAGGCAATACATTTTATGCATGAAGAAAATATATAACGAAACTCAATTAATGAGTTGCCCAGTTAATGGATGTGAGCAATATTCTTGTTTTTGTGTGTGTGTGTGTGTGTTTTCAATGATTATTCATTATGTTGCCGCTCTGTAATTTAATGCATGAAATGTCAGTTATCAAAGAGAGAGAGAAAAGTTGCATGAGAGTGTAATCTGTTCACGTGGAATATATAATAACAAAGAATTAATGCTTTTAAAGTAGCCTGAATTGCATTAATTAAGCTGTTAGCTGGTCAATTTTACATCTTAGATGAAAAAATCGAAAATGATTTATGAGCATTCTCAGCGTGTATTTTTTCAGTTTAAATGCCTTAGTATTCAATATGAAAGAGCATTAAATAAATTGAAGACAGGTTGCGTCACCCTCATAAGTGAATTTTGCACCAGCTTTGAAAGTTTATATTATTATTGTCTCCTTTAGTTCCTAGAGGAACATAGGGCTTCAGCCACATGTCTCCATTGCGTTCGGTTCTTCGGCAACGTTTTCACCTGACTCCATGTCTTCTCACATGCTTTTATCTACTCTTCTCATGACCTCCTCCTCCTCAATGTCACCCTCGCACTGACGACCAACTAACTCGCTGCTTCCCATTCGGGTTCCACTTGAGGAGAGAGCCTGGCGTGTGATGTCACTTGATGGTTTGTTTTCTCAGAGTATGGCCAGTCCACCTTCACTTCTTTCTGCGTATTTGTTGAACAATTTATTGCATAGATTATAATTCCCTCTAATTAAGTAAGAAATGTGCTTATATCAGTTCAAATTCCGAATAGTCAGTAACAGGGAACTTTGGATGGTGAATGAAGTCGACAAAGTAGGAGTGACTTGAAAATTCCCATTGAATCATATGAAAAGAAAAAAGACGTTCAGGGAAGAGTTACTCTTTTCAGAGATAGAATTACTGGTTTCAACGTACAACTTTGCACAGATATGCAGCGGTTCCAGTTGCCACTCTCCCTCAATGTACCACACAAAGCAAGAGAAGATAGTAAAGGGAGGTTCAAAAGACACTTGTTAAACACAAGCACAAGTGAGAGAAAAAGAATAGTAATATAGAAGAACAACAGAGTTCTTCTGAATATGAAAAATCACAAAGAGTGAATGCATCTGCGCTGTGACAGAAGACAGGAATTTTCAGCCATATTATCAATTGCCTACAGCCATTGGTGTTTACCAACCTGAGGATAGCAACTAACTAAGCATTCTACACCTCTCTACGTAGCTTAAACTAACTGTTGTGGATTTCATTGACTGATAAAGCCATATTTTGGTTTGACCACCACTGGTTCTTTTCCAGACTGATCGATCCTATGTCAGTCAGCTAAAATTGCCTGTTGATGAGGAAGACGATAGTTTAGGCATGCGTGACATGTCTTAACCATCTTTCCTAATCAATTTAACTTCACAATCTACTCAAGTGATTCCCCGCCCAACTCACCTAGCACTGGCCTAATGCTTAACCTCAGTATTGCTCACCTTATGATACCACTTAACATGGAGATAGAATGCAGACACTTGTGATCCAAGACAGCAAGCTAGTCAGGCTTTTCATTTCTTCCACTTCCAATTCACGCATTTTGTATAGCCATAAAGGACGACAGACCGAACAGCTGAGCAGTACACACACCCTTCGTCAACAGCCGGACATCACGTCTACTCCAGAGATGGCATAAATTGGCTTGCACTGGAAGAGCCTTCTGTATCCGTGCTGAGATTTTGTCAGCAATCAACCCGTTGGAGCTGGATTCTCAAGCTGTGAAAAATACACATATATACAAAATTGGGAGTGTTACATTGCGTGTTCTAAAACCTATTTGGGCCAAGTTAAACTTTAGACACCAGTAACTACCAATCGGCGAACGACGTCGAATTATCCAAAAAGATTCACGAACGTAGTTGAATTTTGTATAGCGCTTGATTCATTTCAATGAGTGCCCTTATAAGGTTACGTTTGCAATTCGAGGAGGATAGTGTCTTTCAGTATTGCCTGGACTTAGGCCTGCTTCGAAAGGAGAGAAGTTGTTCGTGTGGTGGTGTAATGACTCTAAAAAGCTATACTAGGTCAACTGATGGTTTTGTACATCGTTGTGGAATATGCTGGAAGCGAGTAAGTATTAGAGAGGGTAATATTTCGTAGGAACCTTTTTGCAAGGTCGCATCTCTCCCTAACCCACATTTTGTATATTTGCAATTACTGGGTACTGAAAGCCCATGAGAGCCGCTGCTGCCGAGACGCAGAACAGCCTCGTCTCAATAGTTCAGTGGTACCAGCACTGCAGAGACATCGCCCCATGGAAAATGGACAGAATTACTTCGTTGTTAGGCGGGGACGACGTAGTAGTCCATGTGGATGAGACAGTGTGAGGAAGAAATATAACCGCGGTCGTCAGAGAGCGAACAACATTTGGGTCATAGGTTTATACAGATTTTTTTCAGATATACGGCACGTCCCTCCGAAAAAGATTTGTTGAAAGAATAGCAGACATTGAAGGATTTTGGGGTCGATTGACAAATAGAATAGGAACTATAAGTGGATCTCAAAAGGATCTAATTTATAGGCATTTAGATGAATATATGTATAGAATGTGATGCGACTTCTCTATAAACAGTTCCATGCTGAATCGGGAAATGTTTCTCTCTCATGTTCAGGAAAGATACCCATTGTAACCCTTTTATCATTTTGTTTATGCAGTTTTCTATAAATATACGTTTCCGCTTATCATAAACACCTCTTTCATGTGATTGGTCCATTTAAGGTCGTTTGCTGATTGGTTGTTACTGGTGTCGAAAGTTTAACTTTGCCCCTATTCGGTTTAGCAGGAGAGGTTGCTTCTCTGCTAACAATAACGCTGATTATAATGTACATAAAATTCCATGAATATCTCTTGATTTTCTCAATAAGCGATCTGTTGCCTGGCCCTTGTCTTCTGTCGTTACAGAAGTAGTAAATTCAAAATAATCTCATTTGAAACACACTATTCACCTCCATCTTAAAATGATGAAGTGCTTTGTCTGTCTATCAAGGAGAATTCTCATGTGTTGATCTGGTTTCATATCCATTTATACCGAAACAATATAGCATTGTTAAGCCTGATGCTTTTGCTTTTGTAACTAAGCTAATGGGTGTACAATCACGAAAACACATCTTTTGAAAACAAAAGAATACTTTATAATATGTATTCCCCTATATAAATTTGAATAAAGCAAGAACAACAACAGTGGTTTATGTAGAATATAATGGTACCACCATTGTTTATTTCGTTGGCTTCTCATCACCTGCTTACAGT